TCTGGGTAACCGCAAAAAAAGAATGAAAAAAAAAAAATCAATTCCCCCACCCCCAAAAGGCCAAGCATCCTCAGCCGACCATTCTACATTCTTTTGTAGCTTTTCCATGCAAAATGCCATCGGCCCCTGGCCCTACCCCTTGTGTCTATTAGCTGGGTGAATGGCACTAATCTCTTTTCCATTAGTCAAGTTGTTATATTATGGCCAAATGAAAAGCTAAACAATCATTTCCTGTACAATTGCTAGACCCGAGAGCTGCAAAGTGGAAAGCCTTTGATGACCCTTAGCTTAAGTAATATCTGCGTAAGGAAATGAATGCACACCCTTTTTCTATTTCTAAACCAACTATTATATTAATACATATCTTATCCATTGAAATGTTGAGTAGCTTTTTCAAGATTGTACAACAGAAAATAGAGGTGCAATGTAGCAACTAGGTAGTAGTCAGTAAGTTGGAGCTATCAAAGGGGGTATGTGATTGGCTTCTGGATTGAAATCATGGCAGCTGCCCCACGTAGCTGTGGCGGGTGGGAGGGCGTCTGACGTTTTGTAAGTTGTTGTTATGCAGAAAAGGAAATCGAATTTGGCGACGGCTTTCATCGCACAAATAATGGAACACCCTTTGGCCTTTTTTGGTGAAGCCGACTAGAACATTTCTGTTTTACATAGACAAGCAACACAAGCAAGCTTAAAGCTGTGTTAGCAACCATGGTCACCTCTGACAAGAAGCATATATTCTTTAGCATTGTAGTAATGAGAAAAAGGGGATGAGCATTGAACCTTCAAGAGGTTCTTGCTAGTTGATCTATATCATCTTATATATGCAGCTACCCTATCCCTGTTTTTTTCTTCTTTATTGCTAATCCAAGTCATTTTGTTAATGTATCAAAAGGATACAAGGGTGCACACCTACTACAAACATATTGCAGCAACTGAGACACATCAACAGGAAAAAGAAACGAAGGGAAAGTACCCAATTTGTACCCAATCATTTCATTCAAACTGTACTCCCAATTCAGTAGAAACAACAGAACAAGGTCAACACCCCTTCACGAAACAAAGCATAATAGCCATAATCCAATGCCATTAGGAACTTTCACCTCAATTCCAAGCCACAAACACATCAGTTCTATCCACCCCCAATTTCGCAAGAAGGTCTACACAATAATTAGCTTTCTTAACAATATTTTAAAAGAAAACACACTCAATGCAATCACGAATCATGTCAATTTGTTGAAAAAGGTTCCAATACTTTCATGGCATTTTGCAAGTATATATCAAGAATCCAAATAATAGCATTCTTTTGAATCTGATTCAATAATTAAAGACTTTTGTCAAACAAAAGTGACTTGAAAGTAATTTCAAGAGCTATTCCTCGAGGCGCTTGGCTTTCCTCTGATGGAACCATCTACCTTGAACTTTAGAAAATCAGAATTGGGGAGATTCCATTGGGCATCTTTATTGCAACCAAAGAATCTTGAAACACGTGGAGATGAGACTTGTCTTGGCCCTACCCACCAATTCACTGTCCCTATCCAAAGCAACCAAATCATTTATTTCTCATTCCTCCTTTCGAACACAATTCCATCTCTAGCTACCCAGAGAATCCATAAAGCCACACCATAGAAGCACATTGTTGGATTAACAAGCTGGGCCGAACTAGAAAGACAGCCACCGGTCTAGAATTCCTTCCCCAAGGAGTCCCAACTCTAGTTTTAGGTAAAATCTAAGTGGGTTACCATCCTCGACTTCAGCATGGCACCAAATTGGGCATTAGCAAAGTTCCTCCAACCACGAAATTTCCTTCGAAATTTCATATAAGATAACCACAAGAAGGCATTGAAGTCTGGAAGGATTTTAAACTTTCCATACATCCCTTCCTTAAAGCAATGAGATTGTTATTGCTTAAATTTTCCATAAATAGAAGGTTTGAAAGGTAAAAACCAGTTTAGCTATAATTAGATTTCCTTGTGCTCTTGATGTCTATTTTTCTCAATGTTGTTCTAGGCCCATATTAAACTAACATATCTAGTTTATGGATTATATTTTCCAGATCCGTAGTTTGATTTTGGATTATATTATACCTAATTTAATTAAGATATTATTACTTAATTTTTTTTATATTTTTTTTCACTTCAAAATTATGAAATTTTTTAATTGTAATTAATAAAATAATTCTGAATAATTTATTTTTTTCATCATTATGTGTCTTTTATTTTTTAAGGTGATAAATGTTTAATAAAAGTATTATCATAATTATTTAATTAAATTAGATTAAGATATTTTTGTATTTTTTATTTTTCAATTATTTGAGGTTAATTATGATTTTGAGGAAGTTTTTATATTTTATCCTGTAAAACTATGCAAGAAGTATTAGCAATTTTCACTATGTATGTGGATGCCTTCTTTTTTTTTTTAATTTGTGATACACTTTTAGTGGAAAAAGAAATAAACCAAAGTAAAAATTATGAAAGAATCGACGGTAATTTGGGTGCAAATCAAGGTAAAAATTGACGACATTAAAGCATAATTGCTGGTTGTCCATGACCGGGGAACAATTTTCGCAAAGGTTTAATGTTTAATTTAACTTCCAACATGGAGAAAAAGCCAAAAATTTAATTCCCCAATTCTTAAAATTTTGCAATTTAAATCTAATATTTGGTTATTTGACCTCAAGTCACAGAGATAGAACTTGCCTCTCTACTTCTTCTTTTTCCTCTATCAGGAGTCAGACTGGGAAACAGCTTACTTGCAGGAGAAGGACTCGTGGTACATTCAAGAAAAGAGTTATTCTCTTATATATACGCTGAATGCAAAGCCTTGTTCGGTTAAATTACTAACGGAGGGATAATAGGGAAATCCTGGTGAAGCAAATTGTTCACAAGGAGAAGATAAAAAACGGGAGGTGGCGACTTCGAGGTGTTCAGCAAGCTGCACGGACGTACGAGAACCTATCAAACTAAGCTCCGGATGCAGCAGGGAGAGATATCTGATGAGGCAAAGGTACCTGAGAAGCTATACCTTTACCATCAAGAAAGAGAATGTCGTGCAGAGAACGAAGAAGTGGTTGAAGGAGAAGCGCGGGAAGTATAAGCAGATAAGGGAGGATAACAAATCTAAAGGCAGTAATAATCCTGGTGGCCGTTATACTTCTTCCTCCTACCTTGAAGCCTGTTTGAAGTTGTTGCTTTGTTTGCATGGCAAAAGTTGATGTTAGAATGGAATAGAAAAGTAGCCCAAATTGCCAACCCTTTCTATCAGATTTCTATCTAGTGAAAAAGCAGGATATCAAGTTTCTGGTGACAGTTTTCTCATTGCCATTTAGGGAAGTTACAGCTGCATCTGCTAAGGCAGGCTGGTTTTCCCTTCAATTTTCCCTTGTAATGTCCATATAAATGGGGTACCTAGGCATAGCAATTTTCCTAGAGTAAACTGTTTACATGTGAACTTAGCATATTAGATATTGGCCAAGCATGACTTTCAAAAAAAATATATATATATTGGCCAAGCAATTTTATATGGTGCGGGAAAGAATTCGAAACATGTGATACTCATGAAAACGAATAAAGCATGAGGAATATCGTGAAGTCTCATTACCATGTATCGTGCACCCAATTTGGAACAGAATTAGTGTACTTGTGTTTCTTTCTCCTAATTTGACTTCTGATTTCAACCATTCAGAAATTCATTCTAATTGATTTCCTCTTTAAAGTTATGAGAAAAATCGATCAATTTATAATCAGCAATCTGCATGCAATTTTCTAGAATAAAGCTCTTATTCCACCACAAAAATGGGAATAAACTCAAGTACTTAGTACTGCCACTAGCCTAATCAATCTTTCAATTTGTAAGCATAATTAAAGTGTCGTCAATTCTCCAGTCAAATCTTATCCTAGCATGAGATTCTAATTTATAGTTTAGAGTTAGAAGACTATCCAAATGGACTAATTTAGCTTAATTAATTATTCGATTGATCTCATATCATAACTAATAGTCTACA